TTTTTTTTTTTTTTTTTTTTAATTCTCCTCCCTGCCCCCACCCCAGCCCTTTTTTTCATTTTCTTTCTTAATGCTTTTATCTTGCAGAAGTATCTTTAAGAGGTCCATCTGTTAAAGCTTTCCTTCCCTCTGGGTTTCTTTCCCACACATAAGCCCTCTCAGTTTCTCTAGATACAGTCAGCTTATATCTGACACCTAGTGTGTTCAGAGCATTATAGTCAAACATGACAATTTGAGAAGGGGGGGAGAAAGTTAATAAATGTCATTACTACAGGCATAAGATTTGAGGGGGGTGGTGGTGAGAAAGTTGTGGCACTTAGTTAAAATTGCAGTTTGCACAGGTAACAATGTTTTCCTGAATTGGATACACTGTTCCCCTTTCCCAAAACAACTACTTGCAAGACTTTCTGTGTTACAAGCCATTTATCACCTTTGGAGTTTCACCTCCAAGAACATCAGTTCCTCTGCTAATACTGTTAAGACTTTGTCAAAATTCTCTAAAAAGTCTAATTTTTAGTGAGGGTGGTGAAAAATTGGGAAGGGGGCATTTGCATTATAATTGTTTAATAAAACATCTTTGAAATCTAATAATACGATTTAGCTATTTGGTGTCACAGATACAGTATCCAAAGCTTTTTGTAGTCCAATTAAGTTTTACAAGAGTCTAAAATAGAACTAAAAGTTTAATGACTCTAAACAACTCAAGAGTCCTAATAGTAGCATTTAGATAAGTGCAATTTATCAACATGTGGATTCTCTCGGTGAGTATGTATGTATTCCCTAAATTTGCTGTTTGTGAATGTAACTCTTAACAAATAGCTTTCTCTTTTGCATGTGTATTTGTATATACGTGCTGAATAGCTTGTATAAACACATAATCTATTTGCATGCTGTACTATTAAAAGCTGTATCAACCTGCCTGAATAATATAACAAGGTACAAATCATAATGTGCATGAAGTGCCAATCATTTGTAAAATTCCTTCTAATCATTCTGACTATGAATGTGTAAATAGCTCATAAGTAAGAGTTAAAAAGCATTACCTTTCCGGTGCTCTCTCTTTCACCAGCAGCCTCTTGTATCATGTGGTTAGAGCTGTCTGAGTTCCTCTTCATGGTATTAGCTCTGTGAACTTTTATACTGTACTACTTACTTGTACACTCATACATTGGTACCACTCAAACAGGCAGGCTGGGGCTTTGTTTAGGATTGGTTAGAATCAGCATGACATCAGCAGATGACTAGTTTTTCCAGTGTGAGACATATTTCATAATCATTATCTAGTGGAAAGTCTTTCTTAGCTGCTTTGACACTACTGGGTAATCACTGAGCCAATAAACCTCTAGCTGACTAGACTACCTTAAAGAAAACTACTGGAATCAAACAGCTATATCTCATTGAGTGTCAGCTTCCACCTTTTCTTTTACTATTTGCACACACAAACTTCTCATTATATTCAGGTTCAGTTTTATGTCTTCCCATAAAACATCTGTTACTTCATGAAGTTGCATCTATTTACAAAGTATTTTATTGTTTCTTACAGGCAAGAAAATTCACAGTATTCTTTATAAGAATTCTAATTTTACTTTTTTAAATAAGATATTCCATTGAGGAAAAAATAAGAAAATATGAATACCTATATGATGATGGTCTCCCCTCCCTGACTTACACTATTATTTTACATCTTAAAATTGAATGCCTGTGTCATAAATCATTTATCACCAAGAACTCTGGAAATAGTCATTCTCTGTAAGTAAATGTTGTAAGTATCCTTCCCAGATATTTAGAATCTCCCCCCCCAAAAAATCTCATACATCATTCTTCTTTATCAGATCTTGAAGTCCTATGATTTATAAATTGTTACAAACATACCATAAGATTAATAAAAACAAGTGACCATCCCTTCAAACAGGGGTTAAGTTGGTCGGAATTTTCTTTGGGAGGAAGAGTGTTAGCAAGTTGGAAATAACTTAAGAGGAAGGAACCTTCAGACAAGGATGGTGGAGACGGATAGTTTATAGTATAGCTGAAGCATAAGCTGGGTCCTCATCACAAGTCAAATAAATTGTACAAAACTGGGAGCTAATGAAAGCCATATGACCAGATATGTTGTTTTGTATGCAGGATTTAACATGCATAAAATAAACTTTTCACTGTGCCCACAGCAAACTCTAGAGGCTCTGGCCTCCTAATGGGTTTCTTTCGGACACCATAAGTTTTCTGTGTGAGAGGGTCTGCCTTGGCGAAACACAGAGCAAGTGCAGATGCTGAACTGTATGTGGGGTGGGGAGTACTCTAAGAACTGCATCTGCATAAACAAAGCAGGAAATTAAGTCGCTAGGTTGAAAAGGAACAGAGGGTATCTGAGAAGCAAAGACAGGAACAGCTCCAGTGTTGGCTAACCCCACACCTGACCATGTTCAGAATGGGATGGACTCAAACTCTTAAGAAAGGAACTTCCCTACACGACTTGTTGAGCCCTCAGGGGGAGCAATGGCCTGCAAGGCATCTGAACTCACACCCTCCCCATGTATGAACCTTCTGGTCCCGGAAATAATCTGTATTTATGAGTTTGGGGGTGCGCAACCAACCTGGATGAGACCCAGTTCCCTCTGCATACTGACCATGTGACTCAGGCCTTAGTGTTCTCATCCTTAAAGTGGGATCCATTCCTGAGATGCCTTTCTAAACTTGTGTCACAGAACCTACAGCCCCCTGACTAGAGGAGCCACCCTACATGCGTGACTCACACTGGGTATGCTGTCAGATGCCCACCTGCCAGGGCAGCCCACCAGCTGTGACATCATTCTCTACCTGAGTCCCGACCTCAGAGCTGAGACATGCTGGAAATGCCTCCTCACTCAGTGGGAATTAAGGTGGGGGTGGTAGAGGAAGCAAGCAGGTTAAAATAACTTCTCTCGAATATTCTGGACTGGGAGTGATCTTTTCCTTCCAGACTCCAGGGTCCAAAGTAAGCTGGTCAGCCCGGCTTCCGCTCAGCATCTCCTCCGCCGGGCTCGGTTCGGTTTCTCTTTCACTTCCGGCCCATCCCCCAGCAGCTCCCCGCCCGGCCGGCCGGCGG